CGAGGTCCCACATATCGAAGGATGAGGTTGCTCGGGAGTTGCCTGGGCGGCGAACAACTCAATCTCCGCTCGACTCAGGGTCGCGCTAAACTTGGCACTCACAGGAGAACGTATGGAATAAAAAATGAAGTAGAGATGAGACTGTATCGACTTCCGATATCAAGTCCCTGTACTCTTCAAATTGAGAAAAGCGCCCGTGGATCATAGATGAGCACGCTTACCAAATCAGCTCCCATCCCAGCTGTTCGTGCAAGCCCCAAATTACCACCGTCGAGTGTCGCTACAGCATACATCAAGCCCAAAAGGGGGAGAATTCTCCTGTCAACTCGTCGTCTAAGGAGAGTTTGGATCAAGAGGCAAGAAGCAAGCAAAGCTAAGAGTGACTTACATGGTTTTCCACTCGAATATCTTGCGTGCGTCGTGTTCATGGCCAGAAGCCAGGCTCTCGTCTGTAGAATTCGAGTGGTGGGGAGACATGGCCGATACGATTCCCTCGGGACTCGGAGAAGTCAGTTTAAATACGGGCCTGACTGACTAACCAGACCCTTTCGCGACTTCGGAAGTAAGTAAGCGCGCCCGATGCGAGAGGATCCGAAGTCGCCATATTGAATGACTGTGGTATACGCGTGAGCGGTCAAGAACAAGTGTATAGGTAGCACATACCGATGAGAATACAAGAAACCCTGAATTTGGGGTTGCCCTAAGCCCGGTCCAAGCGGAGGTATCGGTGACTCAACCCGAATCTCCAAGTCCCATCACCTTTATCGAGCATTCGAACACAGGAAAATTGAGGGCGTCTCGATGGCCCATGGCGGAAGCCCGCTCTACTTCCAACGGAACATACTTCTGGACCCTTGAGCCACACGTATGATCATTGCACCCGACTACTGGAGCGCTAGAATACAAAAAACCGCAATTTGCAAACGTACATATCCCGTCAGACACGAATTCAGGTTATCCAGTTACAGTCAGGTTCGCGCTAGCAAAGGTTTCTTCACTGGTCCCCACTTTGATGAGGAATCTTCCTGGTTCTACAAGCCATTTGTTCTCTAACGACCAAAGCGCCAGCTGTGATGATTTGACCTCAATGGAGACCGTCTTGGAGGAGCCCGCCCTAAAGCGACCCGAAATGGATCAGGAATGATGAAAAGCGGAGCGTAGGAATGTAACACACGGGATGTCAACTTTCTCAAAGCCCACTAGTTGTTGATTGACCGTCACGATGGAGCTAAAGAGATCGGTCACATAGACCTGGACGCCAGAGTTGAGCTGTAACGATCGGGAGACACGGCAAAAAGCAATGTACGCACCTGAACAACCTCCTGTCCATCAACGGTTCCGGTGTTCTGGATGGTGACCGTCACATTAAAATCATCTGCGGGACCGATGGAAGCTGGTGCCAGCGTCAAACCGGTACTACAAACGATGAAAAGGGTTAATGAGACGCGGGCCGCCAAGCTGTATCGTACCCACTAGTTGAATGAGGTGTAACTCAGTCCATGACCGAAGCCCCACAAAGGCTTGGGGCTATTCAAAACGTACTGAACGCGGAAGGAAAGTGCTGAGGAACGAGGTTCAACAAAAAAGGTCGGTTGGACTTACTTGGTGTCCAAACACTAGGGTACCATTATCCGTCACGAAACCAGGATCAAGGGGTCTTGCTCCCTTCAAGTAGTTGTAGAATATGGGGGTGGTTCCAACGTCTCTCGGGAACGACACCGGAAGTTTGCCTGATCAAAATGTAAACGAGGGTCCACGATACGAGGATTGGTATGACTCACCTGAGGGGTTAAAAGCACCGAAAACAACCTCAGCTAACGCGAGGCCTCCAAGTTCACCAGGATAGAATTGTTGGATGACAGCATCGGCATCTGAGAAGATGCGTAGTGAGGTTATGTGAATAGTAAGATGCGAGCCGGAGCTTACGATCTTGAATCCAGGGCTCAGCAATTGGTTTGCCGCTCACGAACACAACCACGGTCGGCTTTCCAGTGGCTTGCACGGCTTGAACCAGTTTCAATTGTGCTCCAACGAGGCCTAGGTCGTGGACGTCAACGTGTTCACCAGTAGTTGCGTTGAGACCCTGCCACAAGAGCGTCTGATCTCGCGACCACGTTCCAACCTTGAAGGATGTCTCAACTTCGACCGTCGTAGAGATATCTTATCGTTTGTCCACCCACCATGACAATAGCCACGTCGGACGACTGAGCAGCATTGACGGCTTCCTCAAAACCGCTCTCATCATTGGACCATAGCTTGCAACCTTCAGCGTAATTGATCTTCGTCGAGCTGGATGAATTGGCTAAGAAGTCCTTGAAGCCTTGTAATGGGGAAACTCCGTTGAGCGTCGCATTGAAAAACACGTAGTCGCCGAACTTTGGGAAGACCTCAACATCGGCATTCCGAAGGAATTTCCAGAATACGTACAGTGACCTGATCGACCTGAGGTCCAATAAGCGCGACACTTCCGATATCCTTCTTGAGGGGCAGCGTGTTCTGCTTGTTTTCAAGTAGTACGAGCGACTCGCGGTCGGACGCAAGCAGGACTTCGCGTGATTTGGGTGTTCGAATGGTGTCAATATAATCGGTGTAAGGGTAAGGGTCTGGAGAAGACTTTCATGAGAGTCTACTTGTTAACTGGCAAGAGCGACGCACTTTCAAACAGACCCAACGTAAACTTGACGCGTAGCAAGTATCTGACAGTGTCATCAATGATTTTCTCGTCTATTGATCCAGCTTTGACTTGATCTAAGAAGGTCGGTTAGTACAAGATGGCGCACGAACGCTGAAGAGCCATACCTGTGAGAGTGAGATAGGTATACGAGCCACCTCCCATTTCACCACTATAGTTTTCGACGGAAGCCTTAGCAGCACATTCCCTCGTTTCACAGGTAAAGTGAAGATTGATCAAGAGATCAACGGAGCCGGCATCCGTCGTCACCCAGTATTTGTATCCCCACTCATTTCGAAGCTGGAAGGAAAGGTTAGCCGTTGTACATCTACGGGCGGAAGTGACTGACGATCTCGGTCAAGAGATCTGAGGGGAGGATTAGAATACATTTTCAAAGGAGAATTTCTAGCACTCACGTTTGTCCGCGATAGCTGGAATTCCGTCGTACGCCGAATACGAAGTCATCATGCTCAAGCTTTCCAGACATGCACGTTCGAAAGCGGGAAGATAGGTCGAGCGCATGTCGCGTTCTGTTCCGACAACCGGAGCCAGGTTTCTGAGACGCAATTTTGAGTCGTGCACAAACGCGAATCGGAATGGAAAGCGTGAACTCACAACCCAGTTATAGGGCTCCCAAAGCCGGCGAAGTGCTTGCAAGTGGCGGCCATGCGCTTTCGTGCGCCACCGGACCCGTCGGCAGTCACATTTCTCCTTGTCCCATCCTGCAGACCGGAGACGTACGCCAATCCCATCTCACCGGTCAGATAATGGTCTTCACCGAAATTTTCTTCGACTCTGCCCCATCGGAGTTCGCGAGACAGATCAAGAACGGGAGCGAATATGTGGTTGATGCCGAGGCCCTCTGCCTCGTCAGAAACTACGACGGCAACGTCTTTCACCAGGTCGCGGTTGAAGGATGCGGCGAGGCCGATGGGCGAAGGGAATATGGTCCCATTGTTCGTAAACCCGTGCAGTCCTGGGTGGCGTGTGTTAATCGTGAATCATGGCAGGTAAGTAGTAAGATATCACCTTCACTCTGGATCAAGGCAGGTATGCCAAGTGTTGTATTTTCCATCAAATACCTCTGCCCAACTTCAATAGTGAAGACAAACTTCTCGTACGGCATTAAGTAGCCACCCCAGATAGAGCCCCCTTTAAGACTCATCTCCTCTTCCTGTAAAAATCATTCAGTCGACTGGGATAAGAAGAGAGTTATAACAGAGGTTACCAAGCCAGTTTGGTTATAGGTAAGCGTGTTATCCAACGGATCATCTGGATTTGGCGTCCACCCTTTGAGATCACCCTGGATACTTGCGAACGAGAAGATGTCAGATACACAGATTAGGCAAACGCGATAGAACTTCGTACAGCTGCGCGACCTTTTCCTCCAAGGTCATCCTGGGCAACAAATCCTCAATACGGTCCTCGATGGGCGCGTCCGGGTTTTTGTAAGTCGGTGTCGAACCATCTATGTTCTCAGCTCGTTTGTCAAACGAGAACTTTCGCGACTCGAGTGACGAGGAGAGCACCGCTGGCGCGAGCAAAAGTGGGTAGAAAAGCCGCATTAGTGGGGGAATTATGAGGCAGCGTGCAAGTCGCGGCGTCTTCTTATACGTTCAAGGGATCTCATAGGCCCTGGACGGGAATAAGTTCGATTTTTGTGACGATACCATATGGAACGTACCGATTCATGCCATGTTTCGCAATGAGTACCTAGCTTGCCCCCAGCAGCTGACCTCCCAAGTCGTAGGTTCCCTCCACTCCTACTACTGACGGCCCGCCGCTCCCTCAAAATCAAGTCCGATGATTGACCGCAAGACCAGCAAAAACCTCGGAGTAGCTGCTAAATAAATCGCCCGGCAAACAAGGAGTCAGCGATTCAGAACGTAACTCGAGTCATCAGAAAACACACACGTCCTGACGTTCAAGTGTGCCATCGTCTGTTCATGTTGACGGCATCGCAGACATTCCATCATCCGTGACTATACATTATACCTTGATATTCAACGTCAAATGATGTTGAGTGTTTCTGATAAGCAGTGGTAGTGGATTGTTATCCTAGGTCAACGAATAGATCATGGTAGAGGTAGAGAACAAGAAATCAGGGTTGCCTTGCCGCCTTATTGGAAGGAGTGGACAAACTCCCACGCTTGGACCACCTCGACGGCGTCGCGAAACCCTCAGCGACCCTGGAAGGGGGATGTCCCCTTCTGTATCGCCCCCGTGCACATACTCATAGCCCTCTAGATTGGGTATGACTTCTGTCGACCTTCTCTATTAGCTGGAGACTGGAGCGGTTGAGTTAGTCGAGAATATCCCCGAGCCATGCGGTCTAATAGTGTAGTGGTTATCACAATGGATTCTGATGACGTGAATTCCATTAACCCAGGTTCGAGTCCTGGTTAGACCTTCCTTTTTCCCTCTCTGATGGGTAACTAGGACCCTCTACTCTTTGTATGTGGCGATTTGTTCCTGATCTCAATAATTTGAATTCCTCACTGACTTGCATACTCTCAGACGAGATATCAAAAACGTCCACCTTAAGGGGAACCACGTTCGTGAGAACTTCCTTGCGTTAAGCGATGTTAAGCGAATCTTCCGGTTCAGCATGAGAGACGGGCGCCTACACAACCAAAATTACGGGGCCAGTATTGTATCTTCCAGACACTACCCACGGGATACATAGCTCTACCATGGATATAGAGGACCCCGTCGAGACACAAAGGCTCACCGAGTTTTTCATAATCAGAGCGGAAAGGTTGATAGGGAACTGAACAGGCTCAAGTCTTTACACCTTTGCTACTAGGGACGCCCTGCACTCACTAGATCAGCTCAATCAACACAGGCCTCGCCCATCGTCATTGTTTGGATGTTTGAATTGTTATTTGTGTTCATGAGTATGATAATAACAATAAAAGATAAGTTATAAAGAGTGTTTCGGTGCGGTTCGCTGCACGTATCAAGTTCGTTATCTCTCTGCAAAAGGAGGCGGGTAGATCAGCGCCCTGTCCGGAAGCTCGGGATTTAAAAAAAATTACCTTCTTCGGTGATGACCTAGTCAGAGCGCTTTCCCTTCTTCTTGGTGGTCTTCTTGACCGCAGTCTTCTTGGCAGCAGTCTTCTTTGGGGCAACCTTCTTGGCAGTCTTCTTCGGGGCAACTTTCTTTGCAGCGGTCTTCTTTGGGGCGACTTTCTTTGCAGCGGCCTTCTTTGGGGCAACCTTTGCTTTAGCTGGAGTCTTCTTGGCGGGCGCCTTTGCGGGTGCTTTGGCAGGTGTCTTGGCGGGGGCTTTGGCGGGTGTCTTGGCGGGGGCTTTGGCAGGTGTCTTGGCGGGGGCTTTCGCGGGAGTCTTCGCGGGGGTCTTTGCAGGAAGTTGCTAGATGCAGGGTCAGGACGGCGCCAGGTACATTGAGAGCATACAGGGTACTCACGCAGGCAGCACCAGTAGCAGCGGGTTTCTTGCCAGTCACTTGTCTGACCACAAAGTCGCGGGCCTCGATCCACCACGACCTCTTGCAGCGGTTGATCGTCGCCTGGGTCTCGTCGACGATGGTAATACCTCCCTGTTGAGGAATGGCAGCAGGTTTCAACTTCTTCCCGTCGGTGGCGGCCCTGTTCGCAACAATGTGTCAGACAACAGAACTTGCGACGGTTGGAAGAAAACACGTACTTCGTGGCAAGCCTTGTCATTAAGCTGGTATAATCTGACGAGAAGGTCGAAGAGAAGCCATTCCCTGCGCCCATGATCGAATCCATCTTCGCCTTGATGGTGTCGGCAGCATTCTCAGCATCATTCTTGATCAGGCCGAGATAGCTGGAAACACCACTCTGAGAAAATGGAGGAAACATATCACTCAGAAAAGAAGTATCATCACAATAGGTTCGAGACTCACCGCTGCCTTCTGATCGGTCTGAGTACCGAAGGACTTGCCGCTGAAGAGGATACCCTTGGCCAAGTTGACCGAGGACTCAACAAACACAAGGTTGGGTGATGTGTTGATAGTGTCGAAGAAGGCGTCAAAATCAGCTTTGCCGGCAGCAGATTGGAATTTGGTGCAGATACCAGGAACTGCGTTGATCTTGTCCGCAATGAACTGGAGCTCGACCATATGGTCGCATTGAACTTGAAGACCAAAGTTGCTCTGGAAGAGAATGGGTGTGAGCAACGGAGGAGAGTACCCAACGGAGGACACATACGCTCTGCTTCTTGACCTTGCCGTCAGTCGTGCTGGTCTTGTCCACGAACGCGAATGCCGCGGCGGGACATTTCAAATTCTTCCTCCGGATCCCAAGAGCACCTCCACAGATGCACGGGGATTCGCCACTAGTACTGCACGCAGCACGCTTGTCCAAAGCAAGGTGCGAGGTCGGAGCAGCGGTCGCACTTCCGAAGAAGAGTGCGACAACGACAATGGAAGTGGAAAGATGGAAAGAAACCATGATTGAGGAAGAAAAGAAATATAGAGACGGTAAGGAGAAGGACGAAGAGGACGAAAAAGAGAGAGAAAACGAGCAGAGGAGAGAACGTGAAGCGGCGCCGGGCAAGGAATCATGTTCGTTACTGGGAGGCTTTTATACCTTCTATTTCTGTGCCTCTGCCCCCTTTGCAGCCAGACGCGCACCAAAAGGACATATCAGGCCCCTGGTTTCCAGAAACACTGATAATGGCACTTACCGTCACTGCCCAACATTCCTGTGAAGTTGAGACTGATTTGGCTAAGTTGAATCGGAGCATGGCATCGGTGATCTATTGATGATAGGTCTGGCGTTTCGAGGCCACAAGATGCGATCGGGCCAATATGACGGCGTCTAGAGACACAAGAGAGAACTCTTGACCCAGCTCATCCGCTAGAAAAGACCGCCTAGCCACCCGATAAGTCCTCAAGCTGAACATGTTGAGGACGCGGTCGACGCTCAGCGACAAAACCGGATGATGTCCCACCCCAGATCAACGATACCTGGTAAAACAATCGCTGCTCTTCCAGTACCCATACGCTGATTTGGTCTGTACTGACATGCGAAGCAGAGCAGAACAGATACGTGGCAACTGAGTACCGATCGCCCAGCGCCCCGGCGGGCGGGCACAGCGGACTAAGCTCTACAGTTCGCATCACGGAATGAAGGCCCCAAGGTCGGATGTAGAGTCGTAATCTATCAGTGACAGCCTTTACGCGACAGGGTTACGATGAATCGAGTTGACCTTAAGGAAAGCGAAAAGGTCCGAGCATACATACCCCTGTAACCCTAAAAACCATGTTTCGATGTTCGGTGCCCTTTGATGCACTTCTCCTCTTTGGGTCTAGTTGGCGACCAGGCGGCGCTCGTGCAATATAGTCAGCTCCAACAAAAGAGGTCCCAGCCTCCAGGGGTTTCATCTGGGTCGCGTGGTACACCGTGTCGTAGAGATCGAGGATATCGGGCCACCAAAGGATAGATGGAATAGTGCTGCGAATACGTCGTCAGTACAAATTGCCGTGGCCTTGAGAGATGCCCGACTCTAGGGTATAGACCTTTCTTTCGTGTAAGTACAGTCTATCGGTCGGGGAAAGGAGCCTCACCAAGCTATCTGCAAAGACCAGCCAGAGCGAGTCCGATCTGCGTGATTTTGGCAGTGTTTGCCTTGTATTGAATTCAGAAGCTAGTTTGATAGATGTGCGATGGCGCATCAGTAAGATCAGTAAGATGCTTACCCTTTCATCCTGCGCCCAGATTTGGGTCATTGCATCCTTGCCTCTTACAGGTTATCCCCCCTGGAAATGTTTCAGCGCAGGAGGTCAATTCGCCGGTCGTATCGAGCAACAAAAAACGAATGTACCAGGCCCTGAGTGGGTGCTATGTGCGTGTAAAACAAAGCAGAAAACACCCGGTTATCTGTATTTATCTATCAAGATAGTCAGCTGGCCCATATACGATCTCCCACCGTAGCATTTTCGTAGTGAGCTCACCTGGGCCGACAAAGATGGCTCGTAAGGAGGACTGAAAGCCTGACGAAAGGCCCAAGGGTAGTAACGCGAAGAATCGTCATGAGAAAGTGCCACTTGCCAGTGCCGCTCTGTGCTGGGGGCTGTGCATCCTCTGCTTTCGGAAGGTCTGAAGGTTTGACAATTGGGTTCTGGCTGAACCCGGTGTACCGACCTTGAAGGGCACGCTCCCAAGGGGGCAGGGCTTCAACGACTGGGACTCAAGATTGTACTGAGGCATCATGAATTTTTGGAGACCCTGGAAAGGCGTTTGACCGTTCCGAAGCTTTATCCCGATTCAGAGGCAAAATCACTGCACCAATGGACCTTTTTTCCAATTGAAACTCCCAAGATTCCCTCTTTCCTCCATCCCCACAGCACAAAATCACAAGACGGGCCAAGGGCACAGGAACGCACGATGTATATCAACCGGAACTGAGCCCTCTTCTGTAAAATAAGGTTGTAACCCAAACGCTGCCAAGTCTTCATGTAACCGTCACTCACGGTCGCCTCCTTGTTTCTATTGGATATCCATAATTCGCCTGAATATCGCTTGCGTAAACAGGAACTTTGTGGCCGCCCGTGGTCACAGGCGGTCGCTCGGTGCCCTCAACCTGTCGGGGTGTTGTCAGCCACCCGCCCTGCAAATGTAATGTCTCTCAAGTCCGAACCTGTGAAGACGACGGCGAGTCCATTCTCTCTTTGATCTGTTCATTTGCAGGACCTGCCAGACGCCAGCATTTCAGCTTTGCTGCCGCTGCTGCGACGAGCTGATGATACTATGATCGCTCAGCCGTAGGTTCTCCGACGCGAACCTCCAAATCTCGACGGAAACATGTGCTCCGACTCCAGAGCCTGCTCAAGTAGCCTGTTGCGTCGGCCCTCTTCTGAATTTGGGCAAAAAGCTGTGGAAATCCGACTCATTAGATCATGACTAGGGCACACCTCACAATTGAACGTATGCTGGTCGTCGGGCGACATCTGATCTAACTGTATATGGTTTATGAACGATCAGAGGAGCTTGAGACCATCATGCCTATTCGTTCACTCACCACGTCACAACATCAAGCCCGGCGACTTCATATAGGGAGAGAAGATTGGATATTCGTGTTTCCTGTGGTCGTCGCCGCGATGTCCGTCCTGATAGTACCCGGGCCCAGGGGTTGAGTTGATCTCGCTCAAGGACCTCTTCATGCGTGGTCACCTTCCCCAAACAAGAAGTACATTTGCCAGCCCAGAATCATGATTCATGAGCAGCTCAGGTTCGCAACTCGACTTCAGCCAAAATTCGGCCGTGTACGAAGTGAATATTGGATAGAGACAGCTATAATTGGTTCTGGATTCTAATGTTTTTACGCTCCTTCTAACAAGTACTGTGAGAGCGGATCGACGACAAGACCCGGAGAACAACGCACCTAAATCCTTCATATTGACGGCTGACTTTCCAGGTA